GACATGGGTTCATATCCCACCTCTGACATTTGCTAACTGTGTGACATAGGCAAGCCTATTCACCTCTCTGAACCTCTATTTCTTCATCTGTAACATGAGATGGGACTAGAAGACCTTAAAGGTTTATTTGAGCTTGAAATGTATGATCAAGTTATTCCCTTCATTCAGGAAGGAAATGATTACAAATTCAAATGAGGGCTTTGGGGATGGGATGAAGACTACACCCATCTTAGTGGTTGGCAATAGGTTCCACTGTCAGTTTGAAACATCACAACCTTCCCCCACCCCCAATAATGTCTCTAGCTATTTAAAATACCTTTCAGATTACCTGACTACATACTGAAGAGAGAGATGGAAACTTAAATCAATGACCTGGCAATTATTCATCAATAATCATTACCTGTAATCTTAGCAATTCATGATAATAAACTTCCTCTTTCCTGTTCTGACACTAATTCACATGTATCATCACTTTCAGTTGTACAAAATGCTCCCCTCTCTGGCAGGTCTCTAGTGGAGGTGGTGCAAATATTATTGTCTCCACTTTTCCAGATGAGGAAAATGAGACTCAGGAAGGGCAAGAGAATTTGAAAAAAGGCAAGAGAGAAAGGTAACCACATAATTCACCCATGCCATTCATGCTAAGTCATTCAAACCTGTTATACTTACTGAAGACTCAACTGATACCGGCAGGGTTGAAGATGCCCTGGGAGAAGACTTTTGATATAGAAAAGTCACTAACTCTGTGTTCAAGAATCACTACAGCCAAGCAGAGACAAACAGTATTGGTGAAATTTAACTTGCTTTTATTGAAAACTGGATGTTGCATATGGAACATAGAAAGTACAGAAACCCCTACTGGCAGAATTTGGGTTCTAGTCCCTTCTCCAACTATTAGGAGCATCATATATTTAGAGCTGCAAGGAAGCCTAGAGGTCATTTAGTCCATACCTCTCCTTTTACTGGTGAGGAATTGAGGCTCAGAGATCAAGGGACTTTCCTCCTAGGTCACACAGGTAGCAGAGTCAGGATTCCAACTCGGTTCCTCTACCTCTGAAGTCAGTGCTCTCTCTCCATTATTCCTTGTTTCCTGATTACCTCTCTGAGATTATTTAGAAAGAAAGGGGACAGGAGGAGAAGTAATTCTTGCATACTTCACAAGGTTGTGTAGAATTCAAATTAAATTCAATGAACATGTATTAATTATCTGTTGTGTGTGAAGCACTGATCTAGGAAGAAACAAAAAAAAAAAAAAAATGAGGGAAGGGGACAATCCAGACCTGAAATTTCATCAAGATAGGGACTTCTAGAGAGGAAAGGCCCTACACTGATGAAGACCATTAGTCATTAAAAAGCTTAGTTGCTTGGTCACACCAGCAGAATGTATCAGAAGCAAGACTTCATCTTCAGTACTTGAGACCCGGCCCTTTATTGACTATGCCTTGCTGTGACCTCTTGGATAAAGAAGACGAGAGTAAATGACCCCTTCCTTCTTGGAGCTTGAAGTCTAGTAAGGAAGTTTTTACATATATAAATAAATGTGAGTAAAATAATCAAGAGAAGTGCACGAGCTGGTGAATTGGAAGAAAGGTCCCACTGTGCAGGCTGGGGCTGTAAGACAGAGTTTGGACTTTATTCCTTAAGTAAGCGGGAAGAATCTACTAAAGGCTTCTGAGCAAAAGAAGTAATGCGAGAAAGCCAATTGAAAACCACAAAGCTCTCTCTAAATGCATCAGCAGTAGTACTGAAAAGCAAGACCCCAAGAAGGACACTACCGATTTCTGGGTTTCTTTTTTTACCTCAGTCAAAATGCAATTGGCAAACTTGTCTTTAACTTACCTGAAAATGTAGCTAACTTAAGGAGATGTGTGAAAATGAAAAGTCGTTAACACGCTTTCTTTCTTTCTTTCTTTTTTTTTTTTTTAAAGCGTTGAATTCTGTGGCGGGAAAAAAATGCACCGGATGTGCTAGGGTCAGTCTATTTCTTCAAGAACAAGAAAGTAAGTATGGCCAGTACGGAGTTTAAGCTTGGGTACCATTCTCGGGACTGTTTAGAAAAATCTAGCACTCTCCCTTCCATTAATCTTTCTTAGGGAAAATACTTCGTTCCGCACCTGTATAAACAACCCAGATTTTAAAACCTATATATCTGCGCCTAATGCTTGAGACTCTGTATATATTTATAGTGATAGTTTCGGGGCAGTCTTAGGCAATGAGTATAACTGGGCTGAGCAATCTCCTGGAATCTTGTTGCGCTCCTTCCCCCTCCCTCATGCTGATCCCAAGCAGATTAAGCGCTAGTTGTGTGCGCCTCAGCTTCCAGCCGAGAGCTCTGGTTACAACTGTATCCTTGCCGAGATTTTTCCTAGCGGAAAGGGCAGGTGAATGACGCCCTTACTGAGCTAACCCTCTGAGGTAACAATTCTCCACCCCACTGCCCGCCCGAATTCTATCAAAGGCCGTGGAAGTTATAGGCAATAGAAACTCAAAGAAATACTAACGCGAAAAATCGAGGCGGTTTCGAGGAAGAGACACCAGAGGCTAAGATGAAATGATACCTAATCTATGAGGTCACAACTGAGCTTTCTACCTGTCGTGCGTTTTGTCAGTTCGTTCTTTCGTTCGCCCCCTAAAAGCGCAAAAATTAAAGAACAAAAACACTCGACCTCACAAGACTGAGTTAAAGCGAACGAACAAATAGATAGCTTTGGTTTTCTTGGTTGCTGACCTTTAGGGTAGCTTTCCCCTTCCACTACATTCAAGACCATTCTTCCTTCCAAAGATAGATGGGGATAGAGATAGAGGCTGGACCCCTGATTTCTTCCCTATAGGCAGCTACAGAATGATGAGTAAACTCCCTCCACCAACGCAGGTACTCGTTCTATTGCTCCAGCACCGAGAATTTGTTACCTACCCTTCATACAATCAATACCAGTCGAAGGTAGGTCTCCCTAGTCTCCCAGGTTTCCCTGGCTTCAAGGTCCGCTACTTTACTTCTAGAAAATCTAACAGTCTCTAAATTAGAAGGAACGTTAAAGGTCCCAAACACTGCTTGATCCATTAACCCTCCTTAGCAACATCCCTCAAGTGTTCTTTGCGATACCACTTGAGTAGCACCAGTGACGGGAACTCACTATCTTATGGGCAAATAATTCTATTTTCCAACATCCCTAAATGTTAAGAAGTACTTCGTCCAAATGAATCAGAATCCGCCTCCCGTTTGTTTTAAGGATATACTGAGGAAAATAAGAAAAGATAAATCTGAGTCAAAGCTAAATTGGAAGTACCAGAGCGGTGCTTTATTCATTAACTGTATTTGGTAAATAAATGTTTTACTTGGTTTTACGTAGGACCTTGTTGCAAAGGAAGGAAGACAGATTGAGTCTGCTTATAGGAAAATACAAGAAAGCAAATCCATCTCTTTGGTTCTTAATCAGGTGGTTGTTTTTACTGATAAGGGTCCTGCACCAGAAGGTGCTCAAAAAAAATTGGTGAAAATTGTGATAGTTTTTATGTCTGTCTGTCTGCCTATCTATCTGTCTATCTATTTATCCTCTCTAGAGTAATATTGAATAGGTTGAAAGGATCATCTGCTTTGTGCATTTAGAAACGCCTTTACGTCTTTAGAAATGTCTTTAGGAAAAAACAAACTCCACTCTCCCAGTGACTATTGATGTATGACCTTGAGCCTCTCTGATGATTTGCTTATCTTTAAAATGAAGGCATTAGATTAAATTATTTCTAAGCCCTCCAGTCCCAAAACTTAGTATCATCTATGAAGAAAATAAGCCAAACATTCTCGATTTGGGGGTGGGAGGAAGGACAGGGAGAGATAGTACTCAGGTTTCATAGATCATAGGATTTAAAAATGGAAAAAGGCTTTAGATATCATTTAAACCATCTCCTTCATTCTCCATCATCCTTCGAATAGGTCTAGAAAAGAGAAGTTAATTGTCCAAGATCGCAGAGCTGCAAAACTAGAATTCAAAATAAGGTTTAATGCTCTTCCATGCAAGCAGTGTGTACATGTTTGTTTGTTTGTTTGTTTGTTTTTTCCGACTAACAAGAGCTCTATATACCGCTTTAAGGCTTACAAAAGTAATTTTCGCAGTTAACATCAAGCCAGTGAGGGTTGCAGTGCCAGTAGTTTTTTCCTCATTTTACCGAGAAGGAAACTGAGGTCGAAAGAGTTTAGTGATTGGCTGTAAACTCAGAGCTAGTGAATGTCAGATTATTATCAGATAGGTCTTTTGACACCCCTAAGAGAACTTGAAAATGGACTTATAGGGATGACTCTTCGCTTTAAAAGTGTTGGAAAAAGACAGAGGAAGACAGACTTTATAAAGGTCAGGGATTCTGGGCTAGAGAGATTTTTGCTTCAGACAGTTTTTCTCACCCTGCTCCCTCCCGGGCTAGCTGGGCTTTGTAGCCCCAGCTGTAATATTAGAGCTAGCCAGAGGGGCTGAATGAATGGTTTACTGGAAGATTTTTCTCAGCCCTGAGGCCAAGATAAAGTACAGATTGCTCCCGGTCCCTAACAGTTTCCCCAAGCGACAACCCCTGGGTAGGGGGAGCGGCCAGAGTGGTCTGTGTTCCCGCCCACTAGTCTCTCCTTTTGCTAATAGAAAAGTGGCCCCATCCCCTTGCCCGCCGCAGCCCCACCCTATCAATCCCCCTGTTCTTTCTCCCAGATGGTTTGTTCCGAAAGCTGTGGATAAATTCTCTTGTCAAAAGAGGAAGCCCTCAGCACATCTCAGCGGAGCTAGATTGTCTAAGCTTCAGGTTTCCCTTTGTTGCGCTCAGCCCCTCACTGGAGCGCACAGTCCTGACCAAGGTATCCGCGACTGCGCCCGCGTCAGGGCTCCCAGGGCTCACCCTGAGTGTTGACTGCCCTCCCTGCTGTGTAGCGTTTGAGGGAAAGCGGAGAAGGAAACGGATTGGGTGGGCTGGAGTGGAGGACAAGAGGGACTTGGAGGCTCCAAGGGAGCTCGAGTGACGCGATGTCCACTGGCTCGGTGAGCGACCCGGAGGAGCTGCCTGACATGGAGCTGCGTGGGCTGCAGCTGGCGTACCCAGCCCCGACGTCCTCGAAGCGGCAGCCTCGCCGAGGAGGCAGCAGCAGCGAGCTCTACCCTTCCGCGGACAACTCCTCTGCAGAAGAGGATGAAGACGAGGACGTAGAAGAGGAAGCTTGCACCCTGGGGGCGGCCCGCGGTGCTAGCGGCAGCTGCAAGAGGAAACGGACCCGGGGAGCTGCGGGAGGCGGCGGAGGCTGTAGTAGCAGCGGCAGTGGTGGTGGTAGTAACTGCACCAAGAAGTCTCTACTGCCCAAGGGCTCTTCTGCTGAATGCAAGCAATCTCAAAGAAACGCGGCCAACGCTAGAGAGAGGGCCAGGATGCGAGTGCTGAGCAAAGCCTTCTCCAGGCTTAAGACCAGTCTGCCCTGGGTCCCCCCTGATACCAAACTCTCCAAACTGGACACACTCAGACTTGCCTCCAGCTATATAGCGCATCTCCGGCAGCTGCTGCAGGAAGACAGATACGAGAACGGCTACGTGCATCCCGTGAATCTGGTAAGAGGGCAGAAAACAACTACCCTCCCCCCACCCCAAGACTGAAGTTTGCCTTTGCCAGCAGTGCCTAGATTTCCAGCACACTCTGCAGGGAAGGGGATGCTTAGTTCTAGTGGGAGAGACTTGCAGAAAGGTTGTTTTCTGGGGTTTAGAGAGGACAAGTCAGACCTGCCTCTAAAGTTAAGAACTGGAGTCCTTTGACTTGGAGAAGTTGGTTTCCCCTAAATTGTGGGAGTCAATCTTACACCATCCGCACCACCCCCGCAAAAATCCACCCAGATTATTGTTATGCTCTCATCGTTTTTTGTTTTGTACACTGTGTGCGATGCTACTTCCAGTGACCTCATGTTTGGCTGATTTAATAGTTCCAGTCTCATTCTCAGAACGCAATCCACTACCCTGCTGAAATCTTGCATTGCAAATTGCCCCACCTGACTCTTTCCAGTTGATTATCTCTACTTTCCCTTGGATGCTATGCAGATTATTTAAGATGCCTTTCTGGGGGATAAGGAAAAGGCCGAGCAGATAGATTTCCACGGTACTCTTACACTGTTAGAAATGAGTTTTTCGGAAAGTCCCTCCTAGAAAAGCCAATTCTCTGCTCGAGAATGGTCCACATTCTACTCGCCCACTTCAAGAACATCAAGTGCCCCAAAGTTTGCACTGTGAAAAGACAGGTGGAGAATTTAACCTTTCTTTTGTTTTGAAGATCTCAAATAAAATAAAATGTAATACACAAATAAATTTTCAAATAAGGACCCCAGGCATAGATTTAAAAACAGGTTTTAGACAAAGGTTCTTCTAGTGTTCACAAGGAATAAGCTAAACCCAAGTCATTGGGCAACAACTAGCACCTGCAGATGAAATTTAGTCAATTAGAAGGAAATATCATTGGATAGTTAGCTCTTGTTCTAATATATTGCACCGTTTTTAATTGCAGACGTGGCCATTTGTGGTTTCAGGAAGACCAGACGCTGACACCAAAGATGTTTCAACAGCCAACAGATTATGTGGAACTACAGCTTAAAACCTGGGACTGACTAATCAATTTAATTGGATTATTCTTTAGACACGTGTTCTGGGGGGAGGGGGGACACAAAGAAATGGTAACAATAAGCTCTCTTCTTGTAAGTTAAAAATTATTTCTTGCCCTCTTTCTAACGGGAGAGTTGGAGAAATATGGGGATATTACTAGGAAAGTCAGGGAGGTGAGGCCCAAGGTTAGAATTAGGCAGGAGTTAAATTCCACTTTCAGATTTTCTTGGAATGAGCTAAAGGAACCACAGCCCTGGACTGATAAAACCTATATCTCCTGTAACATTATCAGTAGTACTGCCCCCAAAGATTTATCAAAAGATGGTTTTAAAGTCTTTCAGGACTATACTTAACAGGTAGGGATAAAAACCCAGACTCAGTGTTTGTCTATAAACTCACCAGAAACAGTGTTATTTGCACTCCAGTGCCAAACAGTGTTATAATATAATGTCATTTAGAAACAAAAAGCAGATTGATAATATATTTGGTTGATAGCTCTTGAGAGCTTCTATCCTTTGCAGTAGTGATGCAATAGGTGCAGCTGTGTTTTTACTATCTTTTAAAGGACAATCTTTCATGGAACACATACCAGGTCCCTATTAGCTTCCCCAATATGGCTAGAACAGTTTTGTTTTGTTTTATTTTCAACATTTCCAGTTTCTGCACTGAATTATATATTCAGAAGTTGATCCCATTCCTATCAGCATCCCCCCTCCTCCATGGATCCAGATGATTTGGAGCTGAAAGGGACCTCAGGCATTAGACAACCCCCCTTTCATTTCAAGTAGAGAATGAGAAAAGCTAGTTGATTTGCTCGAGGAGGGTTTAAGCTCAAATCCTTGGATACCCAATTGCATAGTCTTTTCAGGGCACTGTCCCACAGGCCGTGGTCATGCCCTCATAGTTAATTTATAAAAGGAAATTATTCCCTCTTTTAAAGAAAGCAGTTTAGTGCCAATACTTCCTGGTGTATAATTCAGTGCTTGGTTTTAACTCGGATCTAATCCAGAGGAAAGAACTTTACATACAATATTGTTTAAAACTTTTTCAGTGGCCTGGGAAGAATGGTTGGGTTTGTTTACATTGTTACATGTCAAGTTTTTGTCATTTTGCTTTAGGGCTGATATCCTGCTGTAAGGAGAAGTTGCCCTCATGATGACTAGCAAATGTAAATAACTTTATTTTTTTATGAGTAACATTAAAATCATCATTACAAGGAACCACCCCTCCCGAGGGGCATCCCAGTGTCTTCCTTCCTGCACCACACTAAAAGGGCGTATGTATAAAATTCAGTTTGAAATTATCTTTTGCCTTAAGGACAGAGTCTTTCACATAATTTTGAATAAGATGAGGACTACTCCTTCCACTCTCCAACCCTCAACTGCCTCCCTCAAATGTAGGTTGTCATAGGTGGGCAAATCCACCTCAAAGTTATCCATTAATAGAATACCTGTCTTCAGGCCACTGCAGAGGCACAAAGATGGTCTGGGAATACCCTGTATTATCTGATACTGGCATAGCTTAGCTCTAGCAGACATTCTACAGAATTGTTGAGTCTACGAATGTTTGTGAGTCAGTCACATCCTGTATGTGAAGTGGTGAGCTAGGAAACAGATCGTGGCATAATGTAAGCAAATTAGAAGAGCATACTGTGGCCTTGTAGGATTGCAGAATTTTGAGCCGGAAAGGACCTCAAAGATCATCTCTCTTCAGGTAAAACTGAAGCCTGGAAAGGAGTGAGTCTATCTTCAGGTAGAGGTGTCTCATGGAAAAGGAGTGAGACTAGTTCTCATTGGTTTCCAATGGCAACAGTAGAAGCAATGGGTGGAAGGTGCAGAACAACTTCAGGCTTGATGCAAAGCAAAATATCTTAATAAATTAGAGCTATTTAAAGTGGAATGGTCTGCCTGGGGAGATTGTGGGTGGTCTTCCTCACTGGAGGTCTTCAAACAATGACCAAATAATCGTTTGGGGGGGACACATTAAAGAGGGGATTATTTTTCAGGTATAGACAGTTTAAAAAAAAAGGAACTGGTAAAAGATTTGAACCAAGGTTCTCTGACATAAAATTCAATATATTTGAATAACATCTTTACTTTTCATATGTAACTTTATTTTCCATGTAATCTTGGGAGGGAGGGAACAGAGAATCATTATTACCCTATCAAGTATGTGAAATGTACTATCTGCAAGTCTGTAAGTATGAATACAAGAGGAATGGCTTACTTGGTAAAAGTGAGAAAATACAGGGAGGGAGAGAAAGAGAGAGAGAGAGAGAGAGAGAGAGAGAGAGAGAGAGAGAGAGAGAGAGAGAGAGAGAAATCAAGAAATAAGTAGCCTGTTACTGCTTAGGAACTCTGATATTAAGGATCTCCACATAAGGCTCACTTCTTAGAAACTATGTTAGAATTTTGGTCACGGTGAGGATGTAAGAGCATCTTCATAGAGACTGAAGCATGAAATGACTGTCCTGGGATTAGAACAGGTTTTAGATTTCATGCTAAATTAGATGCCTCCTCCCACTTCTTTATTTTATAGGTGAGGAAACTGAGATCAAGAGAGGTCATGAGACTTGCCCAAACTTCACATGGAAAGAAACAGGATTTAAACCCAGGTCCTCTTACCCTAAATTAAGCCATCTTTTCACAGATTTATTAAATGGTCTGATGTAAATCACTTCTGAATAGGTAAAATAAATAGTTTCCCAGAAAAAAGCTACTTGTGCTAGCTGGTTTATTTGGGGTGTGGTTCCCACGTGGGCTCTAGGGAGGCTGATTTAGGCAAAAGTAAGATTAAAACTGGGTAGCTAGGTGGCACAGTGAATAGAGTGCCAGGCCTGGAGTCAGGTAAGACTCACCTTCCTGAGTTCAAAACTGACCTCAGACACTTCCTAGCTGTGGACTTTGGGTAAGTCACTTCACTCTGTTTGCCTCAGTGGAAATGGCATACTACTTCAGCATCTTTGCCAAGAAAATCCCAAATGGGGTTACGAAGTGTCAGACAAAGCAAACAACTAGATTGAAACTAATGATCCTGTTTGCCTTAATGCAACAGAAGAAGTACTTTGGAGGAAAAGGAAATTTCTTAAAGTAAGGCAAAGGTTAGGAGTTAACTGAGGTGACACTTGAGACAATAGGATTTGTGTTTTGCATTAGCTTTTGTTCCAATTTCACGTGCAATTCTCAAATGATTACTAAGAGAGGGGGAGGGGAGATATGTTTAAATAGTGTGTGTAGTCCATATAGTTTCAAGTATAAAAACCTAGAAAAGAAGAAATAAAATACTTGGTGATTGGGTGAGTAGGGTCTGGGTGTACACAGTAGATGCTAAATCTCACACAAGTACTAAAACATGAAAACATAAAGATGTAATGTTACCATGCTAATCCATCTCTCTCCCCCACCCCCATTTTCTAACCCTCCAGAGGGTAACAGAAGAAAACATATTTCTCATATATCACTTTCACTGAGATTTTTGCATGATTTCTAGACCAAAACATTATGTGACCCCTTCTCCAATCCAAAAAGTTTCATTTCTAATAAATCACATTGGATAAAATGTTAGATAAAGCTGCTATTCTATGTGTAACAATAACTAAAGGAGAGTCTTAGTCACCATAAAATATTTCTTTTATGAAGCCTGCACAGAGGGAGTGTGGGCTATAAGTGGTGGACGAGACATTTCAATCACAAACTCCATCTTAAATTTCTCAATATTTCCTTGGGGTGGAAGGAGGAGGGAGCCTTTAGGTTATATTTGATAATAGCTGATATCAACCCTGAGTGGATGATCTTGAAAAGTTTGGTTAAAAATAATAATAATAAATTGAATTTTGCTGCTGTAAGTTACGAGAACTAAGAGGAAAAGTGTGTTACTGAAAAGAGGTGGAGGTTGGAATGGGGAGGGAGCTCCTCCATGCAGTTGGAAGGGTAAATATCAGCATAGGAAGTAAATATTGTATAAAATATTGAAATAAGGCAAATGTCCATGTTACTGGTTATTGTGGAAGTAGCCTTTGGTATAGGCAAAGCAGTGATGCTTCATTGATGTCAAGGCAACAAAAATCCCCTTTTAACACAGTCTTCTTTGCTTATATGAATGTTTCACCAAGAACTCATTTCAGAACTCTCATTTTGAAACATTCCGTCTCAAAGGGCACTGGTATGACTGTGAAACTAACTGCAAAAGTCCGAGCTGAAGGTGAAACTTGTACGGGCGTTTGCCCTTGACTTCCCACCACCTTCTATCATGTTACTTTTTTTTTCTTTTAAAGTACTGGCCCCTGCAACAAAAACTGAAAAATAACATTTGCAATTTAAAAACCAGACTTTTTTTCAAACACAGTTTATGATAAGAAATACCTTTTACACTATGAAATGTCACCATGGTGTTCCAAAAAAAATAAATGAGCAATTTGCTTTCAGGAATTATACAAGTTCCTCTTCTACTTTTCTTTTGTTCCCTTCTTCTACCCTCCCTTTTCCCCTTCCTCTATTCATTACCTCTTTGCTTCTTTCCTTCCTTCCTTCTTTCCTTCCTTGGGAGACCCTTGTTACATTCAGTGAACAGAAATGGCATTTCTTCCTGCTCCCTCCATCTATCTTTTGGGCACACCTGCAGGTATAGGAAAGAAATGACTCTCTTTCACCCTGTCTCTCCAAATTTCTGTGTCTGTCTCTCTTTCTCTGTCTCTATGTCTCCATTTGTCCCTCTGTCTCTCTCACCTCAAACAGAGTGAGTTAGGGAAATGAGTGAATGAAAGTGTAACCAAGTTTGCAGATTCTGGAAAGTGTGTCTAGGGAAGCCGCCCCATCAGGAGAGTGCCAGGTCTCAGAGAGAATCATAAGATGAAGGGAGTGAGAAAGGAAAAGATTTAGGATGGAAGCAAGTTTGTTACCTACAGAGCACATACTCCAGGAAATACAGTGGAAGGGATGAATGAGGAGCTTTAGAATGTGAAGCTAGGGGGAGGGTAGGAGATTGGAGAAAAGGAGGATACAATGGAAGATGGAGATGGGAGTTTGTGTAAGGACAATTAGGGTTTCAGAATCACTGGGATGGGGAAGGTATGACCAGGTGGGAATTTGTTAATGATTGCCAAATGAGTTTAGGAGGATTATTAACATCAGTTGAGGTTTGGTGTCAGTATGGTGTCTTCTCAGTAGACCTGATGGAATGTCAGAAGATAGATGGAGGGAGCAGGAAGGAATGCCATCTCTGTCCCTGGAATGTAGAAAGGGTCCCCTGAAGACAGAAGGAACTAATGTTTCCTTTTCCTTTTTCATTCACCATGATTTTGTTATGCCAATCCTGTTCTTTTTCTCCCTCCCACAACTACATAAACCAGGAGAGATATTCCTAGTAACATGGTCTATTAGAAGAGCCTTAATTGAAAATCAAAGGTGTTGGATCTTGAACCCCAAGAAGGTTCCGGGTGCCTATTCTAGTGCTCTAAATGATGGGTGGGAACAAGGAGAGAACGGAAGGAAATAAGCATTTATATAGCACCTACTGGATGTCAGGCACTGTGATAAGTGTTTTATAAATAAATACATCATTTTATACTCACAACAATCTTGCAAGGTGGGTGATGTTACTGTACCTATTTTATATTGGAGGAAACTTCAGCAAATACAGGTTAAGGGACTTGCCAAAGATCACAGTGCTTATAAGTGTTTGGGGCCAGAACAATGTAATTACCACTATGTTTGAGATCCAGGCACCACTTCACTCAAAAGCTATACTCCAGAGCGTATTTAGGGGCAGTTAGGTGGCACAGTGGATAAAGTGCCTAGCCTGGAGTCAGAAAGACTCATCTTCCTGAGTTCAAATCTGGCCTTGGACTCTTATTAGCTGTGTGACCCTGGGCAAGTCACTTAACCCTATTTGCCTGAGTTTCTTCATCTGTAAAATGAGCTGGAGATGGCAAACCACTCTAGTATCTCTGCCAAGAAAACCCCAAATATTGTCACTAAGAGTTAAATAACACTGCTGAAAGGACTGAACATGAATAAGGAACATTTGGTCCTTGAGCTCTTTCTTGTCTTTACTCTGCCTTCTTTCCTTTCTTTTCCTTATTGAACACAACCACTTTGATCTAACTTCAGACTAACATCCTTTTACATACTTCCATCTCACTGTTCTTCCATGTCATACCTACTCCTAGAAAAAAAAAATTACCCAATTTTGGGTA